TTGGTGGATTTGCTATGTGTACTGAAAGATCTCGTGCGAACGGTGTGTGTTCAAGACTAGAGCAGAATCTGTTCACCAGAAGTGATTTGCTTTTGTGCATGGACAGATCAAGATTTAAGCCACCACAATTGAGAGGCAATGTAAGTTGCTCCATAGGAACTCTTGTAGGGAAATGACTCTATAAGAAGTATCCTATTTGCGATGATATTCTCGCAATTGCAGAGTTAGGCATACTAAGAACTGAAGCCAAATACCACAAACGTGACGTAATATACGTGTTTAAAACAATTGCCTTCTGGTGCAAGAGTCAGGTTTCTTGATTTGAACAACCACATAAGATGCGATGTTTTTCGAATAGCTTTTCCCTAGTTGAAATCGATAGTTTTCTTTAACGAGTTAAAGTAGGTAACACCAAGAACCTTAACTGATTCCTTGCTGACCGGCCACGCTGGTTGATGTTCTCCTCGTTGTCTTTCAATATTTACTGCTACCGTCTTGCTGGCGTTTAAACTGCTCCTGAGCAGGCAACGAAATCCAAAAAAGCTTGTTTAACACGATCCAATTTGTTATCATCGGCGATGATAATCGAAATGTCGTCCGCATAGGCGACTACAAGCTCCATAGGGTCATTGCAGATAGAAGATAGTTTTTCCAGGAGGGGATGTAGGAATAGTACAAAAAGGTACATACTAAAGGGGTCAACTTGGCGTACGGATTTAAGGATAGGGAGAGAGATTTCCGTTAATAAGTAAACTTGAACACGAGGTGGACATAATCTTCCCGAGAAGTGAAATCAATGAGGGTTTTAAACACATGCTTCACATCACAACCAAGATAAAACCGTGATCAACACGATCAAAAGAACGGTCTAGATCAAAGGATATTAACTTGCCTGATTTTTTTTATTATTATTATTATTATTATTATTATTATTATTATTATTATTATTATTATTCATCTGACAAACCACGGTCTACATGAATTAAATTACACTAGGCACCCTTCACACTATAGCATTGATCGAAGTCGTTGAATGAAAACATTAATACTAACATTGAAATCAAATAGATAAAAAAAACTTGGTTGAATTCAACACACATTGCCCTAATAGGTTCATTCTGAGCATAATCGGTCCTCTGAAAGTTAAGCCTCAAGATCTGCCGTTGACGGAGTTGTCTGGGTGTAATACCAAGGTTTATTCGAGAGAGTATGTAGGGAGCGTCAATTTCTCCTAACAGCAGCTTCGCAACAAATACTGCTTTCTGTTGGCTTCGCCTGCTTTCCAGAGTTGTCATTCCTAGCAGGCGACAGCGACTCTCGTACGGTGGTAAATCGTTTGGATTATTCCAAGGCAGGAACCGGAGCGCGTATCTTACGAATCGTGATTGAACTGCCTCTATCCTTTTTATCCAAACCTCGTGGTGAGGACTCCACACGACAGAAGCAGATTCTAACCCGGAACGTACAAGGGAGTAGTACAGTGATCGTAAGCAGTACGGGTCGCGGAAGATGAATCCCAGATTTCTGTTAGCCTTAGCGGTGATGTTGGAGTAATGATCCCGAAACGTCATTTTGCAATCAAGCTCCACTCCAAGATCCCTGATGCTTGTGACTCTTTCCAATGCTTCTCCACGAATCGTGTATGGCCAGCAGATTGGAGATTTCTTGCGGGTGAAAGATATCACGGCACATTTTTTCACACTTATAACGAGATGATTCCTGTCACACCAGCCTTCGAAGAGACCAATATACTGTTGAAGCTTCTGGCAGTCTTCTATAGATCGTATTATCAAGTACAATATTAGATCATCTGCATACAAGATTTTACACCCGTCTGGTAGGAGAGAGCAGACATCGTTGAAAAACAGGGAAAATAACAGTGGTCCAAGATTGGTTCCTTGTGGAACTCCTGAGCTGTTGCTAAAAGTGTGCGACTCAAAAGTGCCAAGTTTCACGCAAAGACGACGGTTCACAAGGTAAGATTCCATCCATTTGATAAACCGAGTTTCAACTCCTAAGCGTTCGAGTTTTACGAGCAGGATTCGGTGATTGACACGATCAAATGCGGCTTTTAAGTCCGTATAAATGGAATCCATTTGATGGCCATCGTGCATACTTAGAAGGCAGCTAGATGTGAACTGAATCGCTGGAACATCCGAAAGAGCAATTCTTATTTGATCTTCGTCCACCATATGTTCGTCAAATACGCTTGCAAAGTTTTCCAACCTTTAACCTTTTAAGGTTTAACAACCTTTTATCCTCCATTACTTTACTTAATCTATGTTTCAAGATCCTTGGGCGATACGCTTTGATTGACTCCTCGGTATTTTTTTTTTTCTTAAAAAGAACCACGACTCCTTGCACGAATTTTTCGTGCACGTTCTCTTGTAATGATTCATTCAAAATCAAGTTCAATTGAAGGTGTATGATGTGGAAGGCCTTGAGGTAAAACTCCTTTGGCAGGCCGACACTTCCAAGCGATTTCTTCGATGCGCTTGACTTGATGGCAAAGAATATGTCGGATGTTGTAATTTCATCCATCAAATGGTTGTTCGATTCCGAGTCAGCAGGAATTTTCCGATTGCATGGGAAATCCGTATAAGGCTGTATAATCACTGCGGATTAGAGGTTCTTGAAATATTCAATAACATGATTCTCCACATTAGATGAATAAGTCAGCAATTGGTCTTGATGTAGGATAGACTAATGGTGATTTTCTTCTTTTTTTGAATTCTGTCACTAAGTTTAAAGGTTGAAACTTTTTCGCCAGCAATAAACTTTTCATTTAACCGCTCAAACGCCTTTGAAAATTGACTTTGCAGCTGCAACATTTTTGCATTCACCTGGTTTACCTCGATTCTTCCGTTTGGATTTTGAAGACAATTGTCATAAGCAACTTTCAATTGACAATATAGTTGCTCCTTTGTTGCATGAAACTCACGAAAATTTTCGTTAGTTTTCCAGCGAAAAAAGCCCCGTATTTTCGGCTTTGCAAAGTAAATCCACCACGTCACCCAGCTGTCATAGTTCCTTCTTTCGCGCAACCATCGATTCCATTTGCTTGAAAACTCCTCCAAGACCTCTTCTGTGAGTACATGTGCACGAATAGACCAATAACCGTTTCCAAACGGTTTTCCCAAATCAGGCAAGCAACACCTTGTTTTGAAAGCTTTGTGATCAGAGAAGGACGTAACCAGATATTCTGACGAACGGAAATGCGGAACAAGGACCGACGAGACGTACACTCTATCAAGTCGAGAAGCGGAATTAGGACGATTAAAACTAAACTCATTTTGATTAGCATGCAGAACATCCCAGGAATCAATGAGAAACATACCATAAACAAAACTTTTGAGATACAAGCTATTGCCATAGAGGTAACTCTAAGACTAGTAGGTCCCGAAGAAACGAGCTCAACTTTTTGGCTCAGCTCTGGTACTATCTTTGGTCCCAAGCTAATCGATTCACCCCTCAAAACATATGAACATCCACGAACCCCTCGTTTTATCTGTCAAACTTTCATAGCGAATCAAAACAAACATAGTGTAGTACTAGAATTTTTACTAGAATGGGGTACGTAATCAATTTCCTTGGGAGCAATAGGCCAGTCAAGTACTGAGCCAATTTCAAATCGTAAGTTTCTTATTGATTGTTGCTATTGCTGTTTGCGACAGTTGCATCTTTATTGTACACGACGAAATTAAAGTCGCCATCTATGATCAGGTGTTCGGTTGAGTTCTGTAGGTAAAAGGGAAGAGAGTTTTTGAACAAAGATTCACGTGTAGAGTAGTTTTGTACACCAGAAGGGGCATATATATTACATATCGTCCATGTTAAAATTAAAAGAATTCAGACTAATTGGCATTACTGCACAGCTGCAAATCCACGAAAATCGCTTAACTCGTGAAATCCATGAACCTGATAAACGTTATTTCCTCTTTTTTAAATACCTACGTTAACTACGATACTCTAATGAGCGTGAAACTTCAAAAACACGAATTTCAGCTTCCACAAAACAAACAATTCTAGATAGAGCTGGAATTAGGGCGTGACAACTTTTGTAAACAATGACTTCTATCGATGATTTCTAGGAATCAAGTCACGTCCACGCAGACCAACCTAATCATCGGATAGGGGAAGTCTTTCCCTACCCGATGAGGATGTTGGTTTCCGTGAGCGAGCCTTGAATTTCTAGAAATCAGTAAGAGAAGTCATTGTTTTCAAAAGCTGTTAGGCCCTAATTCCAACTCTATCTAGAATTATTAAACTGGTATTCTGCACTTGTAGTAGCGCTGCAAATAAGGAGTAGCAATTTTATATTTGTATATTTTGTGGAAGATAATATTTGTGTTTTTGAAGTTTCACCCTAGGGCATCCTTAGAATATCACCTTAACAACACATGAATTGGTATGTTCTGCAATGTCTGTACTGCTGCTAAGTTAAATCCACACAACTTCAACGGACTAAGTCCCTTTATTCCAATTTACTGGTGCAACAAAGGTCAACTTCAGCTACTAATTCAAACAAGAAATCCAATTCCCATCTAGATATCTTAAATATTCATGTTTATGAGCAAGCTAGAAGATACTGAGAGGTAAGCACATATCATCGGTAAGAGACGCGTGTATGAAAATTTTGCGAAAAAATCTAAGAGCACCGGAGCCCTTAGACTTTTTTGCAAATTTTCTCACACACATGTCTCTTACCGAGGATATGTGCTTATCTCTCAGCATCTTCTAAGTTTCTCATAAACAATTAATATTGTCTGAGAAGTCGTTAACCGTAACTAAATATTCATGCATCTTCATCACCTTTCCACACTGAAACTGCTCAATCTCCACCACAGACACACAGTAGACATCATCATCATGTTCGCCATTTCCATACCCGAAGCAAAAATTAACGACCATGCCCTCCAAAACTGTCATTCGCAAATGAGTAATTTACTGCACAACATAAATGACCCTAGGCGCACTCCCTCGAATGCCATTACTCCTACCTTGTTGGAATGTAGCAGCCAGCAGGAACGCCGACGCGAATAGCAGGATTCCGTACTTGGCCATCGTTGAATACTTCTTTGCTGGATTTACGCGTCACTTGAAAACAATAAAACAAATGCACAGATCTTCAAACGGTGTCACTGAATTCCAAACCAGATCCACGAAGATAATATGATTGGCCAATCTTTTTTGGCTTCACTTTTACGCTAGCAGAGTCAATCGACTGTTATAGATGGTGCACTCTCGAGAGCAGACTATTTTTGAATATTTTGTTTTGAACGGAAATTCAAAACATTCACATTCGCACTCTGAGCAGCTTCACGGTGACAACTTTCACGGTTCTTTCCAAAGTTTCCGAACTGGCGCAATTTTTGATAGACACGCTGGCCAAAATTTGAATCGCAAATGCGTACACGCGTTCAAAACAATAGCACTTAGATAGACTGTGGATTTTCCCACGGGGTGAACTATAGTGGAAAAAGGCGACGCGACTTATAGTGGGTGTTGAGAGAAACACGTTCGAACTGACTGGCGTTTGAATGGCGACTGAATTGGATCCCGCCGTGTGGAAAGCCACGATCCGTCGCAGCACAAAACAACAACGACGCGACCGCGCGCGCTAACCAACCTCGGTTCAGTTGAACATTGGCGGCGGTGAACACATATTGCGCGGATAGACATGGACGTGAAGGGAAAATTGTAAACAACTTGAAATGAACTTTTGAGCAAGGTGCAATTGTGGGTAGCGAAGCTGTGTTGGATGGAATTCATTGGGAACCGCGAAATACAGTATTCCCCTCATAAGGGCGCCTGATTGGTAGTAGAGAACGATCGAATGCAAGCTAATTGAAGAGCTTTAAAATTCCTTGAAGAGTTTGAAGATAGGGTATACGTCCCTAACCTCGGTCTAATATGCAGCCATCGATTACGTTTTTAATCATAACTCATCAATGAATTTACCTGCAAACGATATTCTACTGCTAAATGGTATGCTTAGATATGCTTATCATGTCGTTTGCTATCAGAAACCACGAAAAGTTGAAAAACTTACTTTTTTTAAGACAATAACTCACGAGGGAAATGTATGTAATATGGGTCTATTGTCCCCAAATTGGGTCTATTTATGGATGCAACTTCGTCCTATCTTGTTTGATCCTCAAAAAAACGCTCTTGGTAACGTTTTCTGATGTATTTTTTTTTATCACTATCACTGTTAACTTAATGCTCTTCATTCCTCAAAACATTTCTTAGAGAAAATTTTACGAAAACTACATTAAATCACTCAATTTAAAAATTAAAAATTAAAAATTTCGCTTATCGTCTTTTGACCGCAGAATATCTAAATCAGAACATTGTGATGTTCATTATACAGGTTTGACAGAAAAAATCTCCCTTCCTGTTCGTTCCTTATCATCCAAATGCAAAACAACATTGTTGACGTTACTCTTATTGCTATATGCTGTCAAATGAATTTCATGGGCCATAGTTAGGAACATAGAAAAGAAATGTGTCCCTAAAGTTGGGTCCATGTTTTACTTGTGAAAACGTTGTTAAACAATTAAAATAAACATAAAATATTCAAACAGCAACTGTAAGTTTTACGTCTAGTGTGTATTATCAGGTAATTCCAATCAATAAATGCCATAATCAGGCCATTTGATGATCGTCAGTCAACCTTCCCATCTTAACCTTATAAGTCATGGCGGCTAAAAACTCCGAACATTGTGATATTCTCAACCAGTTTTATTACTTACGAGAGCTGAAAATGTATTGAAATGTTGTGATATAAATTGATTTGTGTGTGGTACACATTTATCAACCATCAGTGATCAATATTTTCCTTATTTTTTGTGTAATATTCCTTAATTAATTATTTATTTGCGTGATAGGCCGAATGAAAGGACTAGACCCACATTACATACCGTAACCCTATACTGCTCATTTCTGAAAACAAGACTGGGTTCAAAAAATCTGTCCGTCAGTCCATTGATTAAAAGTTGAGGTGCACGTATTACCGTTAGCATCTTTCAAAAGATTGAAGGCCTTCGTCATGAGATGAATATGTCTTGCTGAATGCAAATTCTACTGAATGAACCAACTGAACGAGTCTAATTTCAAATGAATCACAAACCAGTTCGAATCAACCCAATAACCAAACTACAACCATCACAACACTCTGGTTCATTCCACTCCCCACTCCCATAGCTAAAACAACAGCAATTAGTTCCCGCACGCATCATACATCGAATCTCGACCGCAACGATGGATGCTCGTTGAGGCATATTGTGTCGATAATTGTCCACCAGGCACTCGGTCAACACTTATTTCTGGTGCGTACAATAGCTACGGGCACGAATCACTGTATTGGAATCGATTTTGAATGTTAGCAACAGTAATTTTCCTTTAATGAATTCGTACGTGGTGCTGTGACGGTTGCATTTGAAATTGTAATTTGCGTGCATGCTGCTGACTTATATATTGCTGATACTACTACGAAAAGAGCACGTCGTCGGTGGGAATCAAGAGGAAAATGAAGACCGACTCACGGTAGTGTTGTAGAGTTTATTACACTACCTATTCCTTCCCCGCTTGGCATCCAAAATTGTTACATTCTGTATGGACTGCTCAAATCATCGAGATAGGAAGAAATATAAGAAATGACTGTAGAAAAAAAAAGAAGAAATGACTGTATACTGTGTGGCAAGTTTATTTATTTATTTATTTATTTATTTATTTATTTATTTATTTATTTATTTATTTATTTATTTATTTATTTATTTATTTATTTATTTATTTATTTATTTATTTATTTATTTATTTATTTATTTATTTATTTATTTATTTATGTATTTATTTATTTATTTATTTATTTATTTATTTATTTATTTATTTATTTATTTATTTATTTATTTATTTATTTATTTATTTATTTATTTATTTATTTATTTATTTATTTATTTATTTATTTATTTATTTATTTATTTATTTATTTATTTATTTATTTATTTATTTATTTATTTATTTATTTATTTATTTATTTATTTATTTATTTATTTATTTATTTATTTATTTATTTATTTATTTATTTATTTATTTATTTATTTATTTATTTATTTATTTATTTATTTATTTATTTATTTATTTATTTATTTATTTATTTATTTATTTATTTATTTATTTATTTATTTATTTATTTATTTATTTATTTATTTATTTATTTATTTATTTATTTATTTATTTATTTATTTATTTATTTATTTATTTATTTATTTATTTATTTATTTATTTATTTATTTATTTATTTATTTATTTATTTATTTATTTATTTATTTATTTATTTATTTATTTATTTATTTATTTATTTATTTATTTATTTATTTATTTATTTATTTATTTATTTATTTATTTATTTATTTATTTATTTATTTATTTATTTATTTATTTATTTATTTATTTATTTATTTATTTATTTATTTATTTATTTATTTATTTATTTATTTATTTATTTATTTATTTATTTATTTATTTATTTATTTATTTATTTATTTATTTATTTATTTATTTATTTATTTATTTATTTATTTATTTATTTATTTATTTATTTATTTATTTATTTATTTATTTATTTATTTATTTATTTATTTATTTATTTATTTATTTATTTATTTATTTATTTATTTATTTATTTATTTATTTATTTATTTATTTATTTATTTATTTATTTATTTATTTATTTATTTATTTATTTATTTATTTATTTATTTATTTATTTATTTATTTATTTATTTATTTATTTATTTATTTATTTATTTATTTATTTATTTATTTATTTATTTATTTATTTATTTATTCATTTATCAAGCAATTATCAATTAATCAATTAATTTATTTTCATGAACAAATTTCTATCAAACTTTGTTATGTTCGTTCGTTGGTTAATACATTGCTAATTTTTTGTGCAAATGCATCATCATCAAGAAAAGAAACCACAACTTTAGTGAGGGATCTATATTATCACATATTGGTGAATAATACATAAGCATTTTAATCCATGAACGATCGCACAAATTTCAACAATTCTGGAAATTACATTAAGAGTAGTAACTAAACAACCGAGATTGCCATGCCGTTTGGATTACAATTTCGAAAAATGTGCTCCTTAAAATTTAATATTAGACAATTTTTTTTAATATGACATATAAACCATTTCGATTTGTCAATCCACAGCAATTCAGTATTTCAGCAATCATTTGGATAGAGATCACATCACGTGCTCCTGTTTTTGGCGATTTGACCTGGGTGGCATAATAGCCCTATCTTCTTATCAAGTGAAATATTTCAGAAACGGTCTGTATAAAATTTGAATATATTCGGAATTCATGTCACGTATCGCACACAAAAAAATTGAGTTAATACAGTCATCTTCCGAGTCCGATAACCGCTAAGTTCCAGCAGGGATGTAACAACCATAATGAAGTAGAAGATATTCCAGTAGAGCCGTAATATGCCTGGGAAAAGATATTCACACAAAGCTGCAAAAACTATCATACCTTACACCACAAATACCGAATGTACCGTCATAAGCCATTCCCTTTCATCCTATCTGGATGTTTTGCCGGTGGAAGTATCATTCGAAATAACCAAGGGGCCATCCATGTACAACGTGTAAAACTGAGGGGCTCGGCGAATATCGACGACACATACATTTATTTGCAAATTTGTATGGATGATCGTGAACGCGGAGTGCAAGGGGGAGGGGTGTGGTTCTAAAATCTCTCAAAAATTGTCCACCTGTTTCGTGGACAGCGCCCAACTGATCGTTGATTTTTTCAGTGCAAGGAACCACCAATCTCACAAGCCAGTGCCCTTACCAGGGAAGTTTAACATTTACATAACAATCCGGGTGCGTCATCGAAAGGCATAATTTTTTTTTTACCTGCGCTTAAAAGTCATCTGCATAACAAAGAAAACCAAAGTCTTGCTCTTGCTTGTTTACAATCCAATCGCTTGCTGGCAATGTTCGAAGGCTTGATCCAGTGTTGTTGTGTATCGAATACTGCTGTAATCAAGTGCAGTAGGGCACTGCGTTGAACTTGAAACACTTTTTCGTTTCAATACTTCTATGGAACGATATGAATACTTATGTTTAAATTAAACGAAAGCAAAATCTAAAACACAATCATTTTTGAAAGAGAAAACCAATGTAATAGGTAATCGATCAAACGTGCTACATTTTGCGACAAGCGGATGAACTTGGCTTCCGCATGAACGTGCACCCAGCGAATTATGGAAAAAAAAGGGAAGGCGAGACGACGCGTCAGCTTCAGCCTTTTAGCATATTTTCATGATCATCAAAAATATGTTGAGGTTAGTCTCGCCGGAGCCATCCATGCTTCCGATATGTCCCACCAGTGAAGCTTGAAGGTACTAATCAAAGCGTGTCCAAAGCAAAGACGCGTAATATTGAATGTGTGTAGGTTAAGTGGATGGAAGTTCTGTTTCAACGAACGGCTCATTACCAGACAGAAGCGATGATGAATCAGTACCA